ATTGTGCCGAGTGGAGTTTGAGGTTGCGCAGTAAACATTTCAGCTGGCGCAAATTTGGCGCACGCAGTAAACCGTCGTCTGCAAAACGGAGGTCGGTGAGGAGGGCGTCTGCGGTGAAACCCATCTGCATGCCCCAAACTGTTCGGTGCGCCATGTGTCCCGCATGCGTCGGAAAATGCTTTCAAGTAGTGCGTTGAAAAATATGGACCTCAGTGGGTCTCCTTGTTTCACACCCCGCTGGATGTTGAACTGTCTGCTCGTGCTGTCCGTCCGTGCTGTAGCGGTCTGGTCGGTGTAGAATTGTTTGAGGAGGTGTGTGTGTAGGATGCCGGCACCTGCTGCTCTCTGAATGAGTCCCATCGTGCGTTGTGGTTGACGCAGTCGAATGCTTTACTAAAGTCAACCGCTGCTACCCAGAATGGTAGTTGCCATTCTTCTGAGTGGTTGTGCAAGAGAGCCGTCGTGCATGAGTGGTCGTCGGTGCTGTAGCCGTGCCTGAAGCCTGTTTGGTCTACGCTTTGCTGCTTGTCTAACAGTGGACCCAGTCGATTGTACAGGAGTCGAAACATCAGCTCGTACAGGAGAGGGATACTTGCAATTGGTCTGTTGTTTTGTGGTAGCTTTGCGTTTCTGAAAATGACACTGATGGTGGTGCGGCTCCACTGATCTGGCGGTAACTGTCCTGGATGAGTGATGTCGTTGAACAAGAATTGTCTGTTCTATGCCCGGCCCGCCTGCTTTCAACAATTCTGAACACTTCGGCCTCCAAGTCTTCGCGGCAAGGGGCAGGGGGGCGGCAGCCGTGCGTCGAACGTCCGTTGTTGGAGTCGGTTTGTCGGTAAAGTTGTTCGTGGAAGGTTGCAAAAATATCAGCAATGCTTTGTCGGTCGGTCTCGTCGTTGCCGTCTTGCCCTGTCATTGATGCTATCATATAATTGTGCTTCGTTGTTTTGATCCCCGCTATCTTCCTAAGGCCTGTTCAATTGACGATGATGTCCCTGATTTTGTCTTGCCGTCGAGCCCGTTTACAGACCGCAATCCCTTGAAGATCTTCTTGCTGATAGCTTTGCGGGTCGCAGTGAATGGTGTTTTGCTCCGTTGTGCGATGAGGTCGCGTAGCTGTTTGGTTTGCTCTTGGTCGGTCGCTCGGTGGGAGTTGTTGGGGTGGGCGGCTTGGGTCTCGTAAGCTTTTGTTGCAATCTTCAGTGCTCGTTCCGTGTCAGTGCACCTTTCGCTGATTGTCGACGCGTGTGAGTGCGTCTGCAATGCCTCTTCGAGATGTTGCTGGAAACCTGGGTCGTTTGTTGGTGGTCGCCCGGCTGTTGTTGGTCGCGCTCTCTTGCGTTTTCGTCGTCGTCTTCTCGCACTGGTAGACAGATCGAGTCGTACATGAACATCTTGGTGGTCGGATCCTAGGTCCGGGCACGCGGACGCATGAGCGTCTAAGACAATGTTGCGGCACGCCCGGTCGATCAAGATGTCGTCGATCTGTGGGTGTATCTAGTCCGAACCGTTGCTGGTATATGTTAAAACGTGATGTGGTCGCTTGTAAACTGCGTGTTCGCGATCACCAGCTTCTCCTTGATTGCCTAAGCTCGTAACCAACCCCCCCTGGTGTTGCATGTGCCCGTCCCGAACTTCCCAATTATACTGCGAGATCTGTCGCGATCACTGTCGTCACATGTATCGTCGTCAGTGAAGTCGCCAGTCAGTGTTGTCAGCCTTCCCTGTTGTGCTGCGTCTTTGTGCAATGTACTGAGCATGTCGTACATGCGCTGTAGGTGATTGTCGCTGTATCCTCCATGTGGGAAGTACGACGTGGCGGTTATGAATCAAAAAAGCAACTCCTCGTGAACTCGTTTGGTGTCCGGCAGCTGCGAACACATGATTGCCACCTTTGGTAATCCACATTTCTTCCTTCACTGTCCTCCACGTCTCGTTGATGGTAACTGCGTCCCAATGTATGTTGGCAAGTTCGTGCAAGAGCGCATCGATGCTGTCGTCTGTTGTCAGGCTCCTGGCGTTTTTATGTATGAATGTGAACGTATTCCCACTGTGCTTCATGAGGTTTGGTGGGGCTGTACCGGTCTCTAAGCGTGCGCTGCACGTGTCTGCTGGCTCATTGTTGATGCTTCATTGTTCTCCTTGGTCGTTACACTGGGGCCAATGTGTTGAGATGCCTACCGGAACGTCGCCACTCACGTGCCTGAGTGCTCCGCGGCCTCCCCCAAAGCTCTGATGTCGACGTTGAGCTGGTGGTGGAGGTCGGGGTGGAAAGTCAGATGCTGCTGGAGGGTGGAGGTTGGAGTGCTTCGCTGCTGGACGCTGGGGGTCGACAGGTGGAGGAGTAGGTGGAGGAGGGAGGGATAAGGATGAGGGGGAGGATGGGAATGTAGAGAGGGATGCGGACGATGAGGAGGGTGGAGTAGGGGAAGAGGGCGAGTGAATGATGGTAATAGTAGCGGTGCTGGGAGTGGTAAATGACGGTGATGATGATGCTGACTGTGGTGATGAAGTTCATAACGACGACAGGTAACACGAAACCGAATGCGAACATGATGATGGGGACGATGTTGCTCGTTATGATCATAGTGATGATTACGATGATTGTGGTGGTGATGGCGATGAGGATCCTGGGACGGTGGGCAAGGATACTTGTGATGAGGATGGTGATGGTGATGGTGATGCTGTTGCTGATGATGATTATGATGATGATGATGATGATGATGATGATGATTATGATTATGATTCTGATTATTATGATGATGATGATGATGATGATGATGATGATGATGATGATGATGATGATGATGATGATGATAATGATGAGGGTGATGGTGATGGTGGTGGTGGTGATGGTGGTGGTGATGATGATGGTGATGATGATGGCGACATGGAGGAGGAGGAGGAGGAGGAGGAGGAGGAGGAGGAGGAGGAGGAGGAGGAGGAGGAGGAGGAGGAGGAGGAGGAGCAGGTCAAGCGTGCCCAAAAATGAGGAGGAAGAAAAGGGGGATGCAAAACGTTTTCTTCGACCTGCGACAGCAGCGGGGTCACCTGCCAACGCCTGCACGCCACTGATGGGGTGGACCAGGACGACCCGTTTGCGCCCCTCCTCTTTGCTTGGGGATCGCCCCCCGATTGAGCGTGCTGGAGGAGCTGCATTGGCCGGAGGGAGCCAGCGGACTGCTGCTGGGCGACGTCCACGTGCTCACCCACCTGGACGACGTGGTCGTCGCGCATTTTGGAGCTCGCTGCGGAAGTGCTGCCGGCCGCGCAAGCAGGGCTCGCTCCGCCGGACTGGAGCTGCAGCCGGTCAAGACACAGGCGTAGCCACCCCAGACCCAAGCCTGCCCAGCTTGGACACGCACTGGCAGGAGCGGGGGTTGACGCTGGTCGGGGCGCCGCCCTCCGAGCAGCCACAGCCCGTACCTGGGCGCAGCTCGCTACGCGACGCAAAGCGCCACGTAGGCCACGAGACGGGCCGCCGAGCTTCTGTCGAAGGCGGCCGAGCTGCCCCCATTTGCCTCCCAGAAACGGACCGCGGCGCAGACGGCGGTAGTGCTGCTGAGGCTCTGCGGCGCCTGCTGGCTTACGCATACGCTGCGCACGACGCACCCAAAGCAGGCGCGGCCGGCGGCAGCAACCTATGGAAGCCGTCGTCTTGGCTGCTTGCGCGGAGCTCGGGCACCTGTAGGCGCTGGCGCCCCTATGAGCAGCAGCGCTGCTGGGTCCACTGCGCTTAGGCGGCCTCCCTGGGGCAAAGCCTGGGCGCACCGCAGAGCGGACCAGCCTGGCTGGACAATTTGGACACAAACCTGCTGCCGCTTGCGATCACTTGCTGGATCAGCCTCGCTGTTCTCGCAGCGCTCCTGCAACCGCCGCCCAGCTGGGGTGAGGACGTCCCTGCCAGGCTGCCGCCGAGCTCGCCACCGAGCCTCAGAAGGAATTCCAGAGGACACTCACTGCAAACATCGACCAAAGAACTTCAGCTCCCCGCAGAGCTCCCTGGACCCGGGAGAGGACCAGTCGCTGCACCGCACTGGCAGCGGCCCACGCGCAGCAGGCTGGCAGCCCGCCTCGCCCAGCGAGCCTCAGCAACGCCAGGACGACGCCGACTTCCGCTCCACGCGCGCTGCCATAGCTGCACCCGCACTGGGGGGCGCGCCCGCTGGCGCTGCGCGGAGTCCACCTCGCCGTTACTGTGCGCTACGGCGTACTGGGCGACGCCGAGGGGCTCCGAGCTGCCGCGGCGCAGGATGACGCTGTCTGCAGGGACGGGGACGCCGAGGCCTCCAAACATGCGCAGCACCTCGCGGCGCTTGCGCCGTGGCGGGTTGTGCCGCTCGCGCTGGAGACAGGCGGCAGCAGCGGCCTAGTGGCCAGGCGCCACCTGCGGCGGCTGGCGCGAGACCGCGCGCAGCTCCTCGCCGGGGAAGCTGGCGCTGCGGCCGCGGCTGGCGCCCTCGAGCGCCGCTGGGGCGCGACGCTGTCGGTGGCACTGCAAGCAGCCACTGCGGGCCAGCTGCGCACGGCGCCCTACTTCGTCGCGTTGCTCTAACTTGTCGTAGCGGCGCCGTGCAAGCTCGGGGTAGTGGTGGGCGCAGGGCGAGCCCCCCCCCCCTGCCGCGAGGGAGTGAGGATGAGCAGACAAAGAGGGAGGGATGAGGTTGAGGGTGAGGGGAAGAAGGAATGATAAGGGCGAGGAGGGTAGAGGAACATTGTAATGCAGATGATGCTGCTGCTGATGATGATGGTGATGATGATGATGATGACGAGGATGATGCTGATGCTGATGATGATGCTGATGATATGCTGATGCTGCTGATGATGCTGATGATGATGCTGATGATGCTGATGATGAGGAGGAGGAGGAAGAGGATGAAAAGGAGGAGGAGGAGGAAAAGGAGGAGGAGGAGGAGGAGGAGGAGGAGGAGGAGGAGGAGGAGGAGTAGGAAGAGGATGATGGTGAGGATGACGAGGAGGTAGAGATTGGGGCAGACCGTGGGAGATAAGACGGTGAGGAGGGGGGAGGGATAATAGTTTGTCTCGATCTACCCTCTCGTCCTCCTGGGCTGCCGCGGCGCGGGGTCCTTCGCCAGGTGCCGCGCTGGCCTGGGGAGCCTCTCGATCGCCGAGCGGGCTCCCTCTGGACGACGCGGGCTGCGAGGGCGACCCCCTGAAGGACGCCGGTTGCGGGGCACCCTCTGCGAGAGGCCCCTGGAGGACGTCGGCCCCCTCCGGAGAGCGCCCGCCCAGCGGGCGTGGCAAGCTCTGGGGGGACGCCGGCCGCGAAGGCGATCCTCGGGAGGACCTCGGAATGGAGACGTCCCTGGCGAGGGCTGCCTCCGGAGAGCGCCAGCCCGGCGAGCGCGGTGAGCCTCTGGAGGACGCTTGCTGCGAGGGCGGTGGCGCGGCCTCCCTCCGCGCCTCCACGCGCTTCTGTGCGTGCACGGGGCCCTCGAAATGCAGCGCGTCCGCGTCCTTCAGCGACCACGCTGGCTTCTCCATCTCGGCCAGGCGGCGCCGCAGCTCCTCCTCGCGCCGGCTTGCGTCGTCGACCAGCCTCTGGAAGATCTCGGGCTGCTCGAGATCCGTCAAGCTGGGTTTGCTGGCGGGGCTTTCGCCACCCGCGCCGCCTGGTGCGGGCGTGAGCGTTGCACACGAGTGCGAGATGACTACCCTGACGCCACGTCGCTTTAACGCACCCAGCGTGCGCTCCGCCCGCATCGCATGCCCCGGCAGCGTGATGCGGCTCAAATATGGGCAGCAGCGAAGCAATTGAACCAAGAAGAGCTCGGTCCTCATGATGCGCCTGCACCCGTGGAGATGGATTTCGGTCAGGCCCTCGAGTTTCGCGGGCAACACCGCAAGCCCCTGATCGGTGATGCGTTCGCACCTGCCCAGACTTAGAACAGACAGCATTTTGCAGCCGATTGCCAAATTGTAAACTCCTTCATTGCTCGTCTTGCTACCGCCGATGTCCAGCCACTCGAGTTTCTGACAGCCTGCAGCAAGCGCGCTCAAGCCAAGATCTGTGATCTCAGCTGGCCTTCTAACATAACGCCCTAGCTTCGAGTTCAAGCTTGAGAAATTGCCCTTTACCAACTGACTTGCTGTTGCACCGAGTGCTTCAAGCAGCAAGTCACTTACACCCTGACAGCCAGACACATCCAATACTTGTATATTAGCGTGAATTCCGACCAGGCCCATGAAGCCGTCGTCGCCAACCTCATTGCAATCGCATATACCCACATACCGCAAGTGCCTCACACTTGCTGCGAGTTCTTTCAGCCGCTCGTCTGTCAAAGTCTGACAATTGACGAGCCCGAGGCTAGTGACGCCAGCTGCCAGACTATTCAACGCGGCAAAGCCAACGTCATTCAGGTCGCCATCCACTTCCCAGTCGGGCCAAGCTCGCTCAAGCTCCCGACCGAGCAGGCCTCTGCTGTGCATGAAGGTGCCTGCGTTGAGCGGTTCGTTGAGAGCCCTCGCCAAGCCATCTACGCAAGACTGGACCAAAGCTTGTCTTCTGTGCACCTCGTCGCTGTCGACGTCGCCTTCGCCGCCGCTGTCGACGTCCTGCGACCCCTCCAAATCCTCGCTGTCGCGACCTGAGAAGCACGTCTCCGATCCAAGATGACCCTACGGCTGGCGCTGGTCCTTTCGTTCGGGCCCGATCCACCACAAAGCGTGGAGCACCCTGCCCTTCGAACAGCGTCGAACAGAGGGAACGGCGGGGGTGCCGAGGCGCCAAAATGGAGCACACTGCTGATCGAGGGCGCGATCGACAGCTCCGATCCCGATCGATCCACAGACTGGCTGGATCACCGACCCGATCGAACTCAGATCAACGGACTGGGGTCTTCTGAGGTCGCGGCGCTCGTGCTCTTGCTCGTCCTGCTCCGCTGCTGCATCCCCACCGCCGAACTCCGACTGCCTTCGGCTGCTACGGCCAGCCTCCATGCTGCTCCCGGCAATCCTCCAGCGCTCCGAGCCCAACGCTCGGAGTCCCTCAGGCGACTGTGCTGCCCACCGCTCCTCCAGCTGCCCTGAGTTCCTCGGGCCTGCCTGGCGCTTCGCGAGGGGGCTGGCAAGGCGCAAGCCCGATCTTGACCCAAAATGGCTACACAGGTGGAGGAAAGGCCCGGCATCCAACAACGCAAACAATCATGGAACTCTCGACCCCATGTTCGTGCGTGATTTCTCAAGCCAGATCGATCCGTGAGATCTGGGAGCCCGAAATGTGGCAAATTGTTGCGTTACCGCCACGATGTGCAGGGAGGTGGAGGTGGAGGCGGAGGAGGGGTGAGGACACGCAGATGGACTAGGAGGGCCAAGAAGGCCAGCTAAGGACACTCTTCCACCTCCCTCTTCTCGCCGCCTCCCTCCTCTCATATAAGCAGACGCGCGGACCTTTTCAATCTGCTTGCTTCCTGATTGCAGGGGCAAGCCACCCTTGAGGCTGTGTTCTCTGCCAGTATCATCTTGCTGCGAGTACTCGTCGTCGTTGGCCTCCTTCTAGCCCCTCGGGGCGGAGTCTTCGACCGTCACATTTCGGGGGGAGCAGAGCCAGCTGGGGCTGAATGGCTTCGCGGGCTGCCATGTGATACTTGGTCGCGCAGAGACGGGGACCCCGTTCGCAATGCTACTGAACAAGGCACTCCCCTTCCCACCTAATGACTGAGCTCGACAGCTCAGTGTTCGGCATCCGCGGTCGGTGGGCCCCCTGTCGCTTTGCACGTTCTGGTGAAGGAATCTCCGAAGGAGCCGGCGGCCATGCTGGTCGTGAAGGCCCTCACAGCCGAAGTGACACGGTGGCTACCGTGGCCAGGTCGTGCGGCGCATGCTGCTGATTACGGGGCCGCGGCTCGTGCGGCGCACGCAGCGTGGGCGCGGCAGCGCATCTCTCCAGAGGCGTCGGGACGCCCACCTGCGAGGCGCTGCAAAGGCAGCTCGAGGGTCGAGCGGTCGGCCGCGACGCGCGGGGGGCGCGGGCGTCGGCGATGGGCCCTCGACAGCGAAACCTGACGTTCCTGGGCAGGTTGGGGGGCCCAGGCTCCGATCGGCGAGGAACGAGCAATTGGGCGTCGATGCTCCCCGCCCCCCCTGGGCCAGCACCCCCAGACGTTGCCCCCTGGAGAACAAGGGGGGGGGGCGGGTGGCGCAGGATCAGGAGCAGGAGGGGGGCTTGAGAGGGGGCAGGAGGGCCGGTGCGCCGCGGCGGCCCCCCCGAGGGGTCCTCCCGGAGCTCCAGGACCTGCCCCTCCAAGAAGGCGGTCCCCTCCGCGACCTTGGCGTGCGACCGCTGCGTCGTCGCGGTGCGTCGTCGTCGCCGTCGTCGTCGTCGTGGTCGTCGTCGTGGTCGGCGTCGGAGGTAGAAGGGAGGGGGGAGAGACGATGGAGGACTCCCACCTCTTCTCCTCTCCTCCCCAAGGTCTCGGTCCCAGCAGAATTCGCAAGAGATCCGCGCCTTCACCCGATCGACTACCGTCCACTGCAGCCGTGCCGAGACGCATTTTCTGGTCCACTGCCCCCGAGCCTCTCGCAATCAGGGTGGCCCCGGCCGCGTCCCCCTTCCACATGTTGTCACAATGGTGATGCTGATCACCCCATTCGAATGTGCGCCAGTCTCCCGGCTTCAGCGCTGGCCCAATGCTCACAGCACCTCCAAAGCCAATAGCTATGGGTACACATGTTCACTTCTCACTGCTACTACTCATCATACGGCCGTCATCTATTCATTAGATGTTTCCCCTTCGTGCCCCCGGGAACGTCTTCCCTCGCTGCTGAATTCACCTTCCATAGTCATGAACTGGGGTGGGAATCGCGACAATGGTATCGAAGGGCGAGTACTTCCAGGCCGGCTGCGGCTGGTCCGTCCCTATGTCACCCCCACGAAGTATGTCGATGTCCACTGCAGCGGCTGCCGGAATCCCTTAGCCAGTCGTCTGCAAGCAAGAACGGCGATGATGGTCGCTGGGTGGGTCAGCTGCGCAGGCGCAGCACTGCCGAAGACGAATCCATGTGTTGTGTGTTGTCTGGCCTAGCATCTCGTGGATCATGGCCAGAGCCTCGTCGAATTTCCCGCCATCCGCCGCCGCCTGCCATCGACCCCTGCGGCAAGATATGGCGGTGTTCTGGCGGCCTGCCCCACCTCCCATCTGCTGCGTCTACCGCGTCTGTCCAGTCCCCCGTTTGCTCTGGCAGCTGGTCTGCCCTCCTGGGGTGCTGTTGCTCGATGTGCGCAGCTTCTGGAAAACCCTTGTCCTTCTTGCTAGTCACGCAGATCATGGTTACCGGCAACATCTGCGTTGTAACGCTACTTTTCCTCCACTGCCGGCGTGCCCTGAAGATGTGCTGTCTTCCTGGCCTCTAGCAATAGAACGGGCCTGTCCCCGCTTGGCTCGTGAACAGCGCAAGTCCAGCCAACACAGCGGCCTGCACACAATTCTCTGCGAGACTGCAGAGCATGCCGATACGTAGCAACCAAGGTTACACACCGCAGCATACCTCACAGCTGAGGAGTTCGCGACGACCTCCCTCTCTCGCTCCCTCCCTCCCTCAGTCCTCCTGCTCACCATCCTCCTGCTTCCTCCTCCTCTTCCCCCTCCCCCTCCCCCTCCTCCTCTTTCTCCTCTTTCTCCTCCTCCTCCTCCTCCTCCTCCTCCTACGCCCCAAAGGGGCCTCGAGGGTGCATGGAGGCGCCACGACCTCTGACATCCGACGTCGTGGAAGAATCGTGGTCAGAGCCCTTCCAACGTGCAGGATTTCCTGGAAACCAAACCGATCCCGAGGCCCAAAGTGGGGCGGATGACCCCGCCGTATTGTTTTTTCAAGATGTCGAGCCGCGCCGAACCGAGACGATTGCCAAGCCGAACCGCGACGAGCGCCGCGCCGACCACATGAAGGGCCAAGAGCGGCCGTGCAGAGTCCCCAGACCTCAGCGGCCTTGCTTTTTCAAGGCCCAGGCCCATGGCGCTCTCTGGACCTCACCCCGGGGGCCTTTCCCTGTTTCCCGCCGAGGACTTTTTGTCGTCGCCGGCCCCGGGCCAACACATCGTGCCTTCTTGGCCGCCGCCTGGAGCTCTGGGGCCGCCCAGGCGGGCAGCTCTGTTAGCGTCTCCGCCTGGCCTTTCTAGGCGCCCCGCGATCGCGCCCCTGGCGCGCCGCTCCGCAGCGAGGTCCGCAGCGAACTCGCGGGTCTGCCGGCGGAGCTCCATGTTCTGGTCCTGCGAAGAGGGCGCAGAAGGATGGGGGCAGGAGAGGGAGGAAGAGTCCTGAGGAAGAGGTGCGAAGGGCGAGAGGGGGGGGGGGGATGAGGAAGGTTGAAAATGGAGAGGGGAGGGGGAGGCGGAGGCGCGGAGACGAGCGCGAGGGAGGGGAGGGGGAGGCGGATGACGAGGAGAACGATGCGGGAGGACGCTGGGGGATGAGGACGAGGAGAGCGAGACGGCGTAGCAGAGGGAGGGGGAGACGAGCGTAGGCAAGGACAAATAATGGGACGTGGCGTGTGAACGAGGAGGAGGAGGAGGGGGAGGAGGAGGAAGAGGAGGAGGGGGGGAGGATGAGGAGGAGGCGGAGGTGGTAGAGGGATGATGATGGTGATGCTGATGATGATGGTGATGCTGCTTGTGATTCTGGTGGCGACGATGATGATGACGATGACGATGACGATGATGTTGTTGATGACGATGAAGAGGATGATGCTTATGATGCTGGTGCTGAATCTAATTCTGATGATGATGGTGGTGGCAATGATGTGATTATGAGTATGAGTATGACGATGACGATGGTACTGATGATGATTGTGATGATGCTGCTGATGATGATTGTGGTGGTGATGATAGTGATGATGATGGTAATGATGATGGGTCAGCAGCAGTTGGACACATCAACTTCGTATGATGCTACATGTCGCAGCTCATCCGCTCCACTCCAGCGCCAGCGGCCCTCCTCGTCGTCTGCGTCGGGGTTGCCACGCAGAGCCAGCAGCAGCGCGGCCTAGTGACAGAGGGGTGGCATCGGCGATGGCCGCCGCCAAAGCCCACTGCAGCACGAGCCGCCGTTGAGCATATACCTCAGCGCCGCTCCGGCCGCGCGAGCCTCATCGCGAAGCGGCCATGCTGGCCACGTGGCTGAGGTTGGCCTGGCTGCTGGCGCCCACCTTGGTCTCGAAGGCGAGGGCCAAGACTCGGCTGTCGCACCGCTTGAGCTTCTCAAGCTCCCCGCCTGCCGCTGCAACTGAGAACCTGGATGCTGCTCCATGGCAGCCGTCAGCGTTTCGAATGCTTCGTGGGCGCCGCACAGTCACGTCGAAGAAGTATGACACAAGGCCTCTGAGATAGACATGACAATGTCCAGGATTGCCTCGATTTCGCTCCCGTCGTTGATGACTCGGTCAAAGCTCGGCACAGCACGCTCTGCGTCTGCGAAGCACCCAGCAGCAGAGTTTCCAGCGAGGAGCGGTGGGGCCGCATACGGGCGGGCCCGCACTTGCACTCGTGCGGATGCACCAACGGATTGCCTGGCTGGCTGGGGCACGGATCAACTTCGTTCCCCGCTCGTGGCATTTAGCAAACGGCTTCAGGTGGGGCTTCCAAGATACCGAGGCGTAGCTGGAGCGCCGTGCGGAAACGGTCATTATCCATGCACTCGGCTGCGTACCACGGCGGCTGCACCCACATCCTACCAGAATGCGGCCCTCCGCTGGAGATGATGATGATGATGATGATGATGATGATGATGATGATGATGATGATGATTTGTGCGTGTCATCCTTGCGCAGGGGCCATGCTAATCTTCTCTGTATCGTTCCAATTTTAACGGATGATCCCCGAAGGGAATCCGTGATGATGATGATGATGATGATCATGATGATGCTGATGATGATGATGATGATCATGATGATGATGATCATGATCATGATGATGATGATGATGCTGATGCTGATGATGATGATGCTGCAGCTGATGATGATGATGATGGTGATGGTGACGATGATGCTGATGAGGATGAGGATGAGGATGATGACGGTGATGGTGATGGTGATGGTGATGATGATGCTGATGCTGATGATGCTGATCGTGGTGATGCTGATCATGATGATGGTGATGCTGATGGTGATTCTGATGATGATGGTGGTGGTGATGATGTGGTGATGACGAGAGAATGACGAGGAGGAGGAGGACAAGGAGGAGGAGGAGGAGGAGGAGGAGGAGGAGGAGGAGAAGGATGATTTATTATCCCAAGCCAACGCTCCTCGCGGACATGCGTGGTTCATATATCATCGAGTGTGCTGTCGTCTGATCACAACGAGAGTTGCCGTGTCGACTCTGTGTGGAACATCTGGATGCTGGATGCAAGCTGCTAGCGGTGAGCTCGCGCGGGAGAGGCTACATATACATTGCAACTGCAATTGAAATGGGAAGCAGTCGAATCGTGCATTGATGCTCGTCGACATTGGGTCTGGAGGAGGAGGAGGAGGAGGAGGAGGAGGAGGAGGAGGAGGAGGAGGAAGAGGAGGAGGAAACGCTTCTATTTTTGTTGCTGGGCCTCCTGGGGCCCCTCGTCGCCACGGCGGGACCCGCTCGGGAGCCTGACCAGAGCGCCCCCCATGAGAGGTCTGGCTGCCGACTGCCGAAGCGGCGGGCCCAGACCTCTCGGCGCCGCGAAGAGATCGCGAAGGGTGCGCTCTCAGGGCTTCGGCGTCCAGGGGCCGTCTTCGGGTCCCAGGGCTGCCCCAAGGCGGGCCGGGGCGAAGGCCCAGCCCGCGTTGTGGAAGGACTGCGACGCACGCCAGAGCTCTGGGGAGCGCCCTCCAGGAGGGCGTACGGCGACCTCTTGCCATGACGGCAAGGGCCCGGCCACCGCGCGAACCGTCCAATCTATGGCGACCTCCGCCATCCGGGGCCTCCAAAAGCCCGGGGGGACGTGGGGGGGTGGGGCGGGGGGCTCGGCGTCGAACCCGCGTTCGAGCTGCCGCCTCGCCCGGACGGCACGGACCTGCCGTAGTCACCGATGCTGGGCCCAGGATTGGCTCGGCCAGAGTCAGCGGTGTGAGGAAGGAATAACGCCCCCTCCAGGTGCCCCAAGTTGTTCGGTAAAAGTGGGGAGGTATTGGATCGCGCGGGGGCGGCACTGAACTCACCATGAAAAAACATTTCTCTCTATATCGAGTCCGCTACGGCCATCCAGGCAAGTTGCGCAACCGTGGTACGTAGACAATTGGCAGAGGAGAGCCCTTCCAGGAGCGCGAGGCACTCCTCGCGCCCAAATCTGACGCAACTCTCCTTCCGCTCGTCCAGAATGGGGCATCCCTACAGGGGGAACATCGCGTGAAAGAGGTTTCGGTGCAGGTTGCGAGCGAGTGCCCGCGCAACGGGCCCCACTCCTTTCCAACACTGACTCGTTTTTGCTCTGCGCTCCACAGTAATCGCCCAGGGAACTCCCGTCGCCCGGGGTCGAGCTGCTCGCCCTGTCAGTGCACCACACGGGGTGTCGTTCGTTTTCGGACGTGCCGTCTGTTCGCGACGAGGATTAGTTTCGGGTCGTCGACGCGGGTCCCACCCTGGTGCTTGTAATGGAAGGTGGATGATGGCTGGTTCTGACTGTACCTCCCTCCTGTTGCTCCCACTCATTTTCTGGAGCTGCACCCGGAGCAGCATGACGATGGAGAGCCAACTGCCCAAGTGTTACGGCGGAGTCGATGGTGAACCAATCGCTCTTGCTCCTCCTCCGCCTCCACCTCCTCCTCGTACTCCTTGTTCTCATCCATTGTCCACACCTTCCAGTCCCTTCTTCTCCTGCTGATGATGCAACAAGGATCCAAAGGACCGACAAGCGAAAGAGTCGCTGGCGAGGAGACGGACCACATGCTGACCCTTCCCTGCTCCCCCTGCCCCGTTGCTGTTTCCTGGGGCGTTCCCCGGCTTAGAGCGTGACCAACAGGCCATGCATACGCCGTCAGCGCGGAGAGAGCTCCTCCTCCTCCTCCTAACGCCTACCCCTTGGGCTGATAGCAGCAACGGGCAGGGCCACTCGGCACAGCAGCAACAGACTCGTTATCGCAGCTATGGCAAAGCTGCGCACGCACGCAATGAACATGTAATCTACTGCAAAACCGAGGTCGGTCTGCACACTTAGGACATGCAGCTGTTCAGCACTTGCATGGGAGGTCATCAGGACACAGCTTGCGGTTGCTGCCGCTACGTACTGCCGCTGCTGCTGTTCCTCATCCTCGTCCTCCCCCCAACCCTCCCCTTCCTCCGCATCTCTCCGCCTTTTCGTCCCCGGTCTGCTCCTACTCTTCCTCGTATTATACTCATGCTCCTCCTCCTCGTTGTCTCGTTCCTCGCCCCTGGTCCTCCAGCACGAGCAGCTGTCTGGCCAACGCCCTGGCCTCTTCGACCACCTTCAGGGGTGGTGGGGGGGGGGGGGGATCAGTGACCCATGGTAGGTGGGGTATGTGTGTGGTGGGGGTGTGGTGGGAGTGGTGGGTGGGGGGGGGCGCGTAACTGATGGAAGTAAACGTATCACGCGGAAGAGGAGTAAGCGGATGGGGTGGGCGATAAGGGAAGAAGGATCGGAGGGAGGAGCAAGGGAGGGATGACTAGAGGTGCGGCTGTAGAAAGTGATTATCTACTTTTAAATGCCCTCGTGAAGGCGGAATGGTATCTTGTCAGCGGGGAGATACCTGATGGTGCGTCTAACGCGCGCGCGGAAGTTTGGCCAACTTCTACGCCCCAGAGCAACAATGGCAGCGAACAGGCTGGGGAAAAAACAAGCAGAGCAGGAGGACCTACCATTCGAATTTGTTGCTCGAACGAGTCCGTCGTGCTTTACATGGTCAAACAAACAGCTGTAGAAAAAAGGGCTCTATGGACCGCCCTTTTCATAAAACGTTGCCTTGCCGCGAGGGGGCGCATCCACCTGGTTTCGGTACGTCCCTGGGTTGGCGGACTTCACTCCATTCCGAAGCTACATTGACCCCCCACGGCGCCAACCGCAAAAACGTTTTACGGCACTACAGGCAGGAATGGAGATAGTCACGTCAGAGCCCGTGGGACTAGCCGAAGCAGGTTAGCCGATCCTCCAACTGGAAAGATGCGAGATTATTACGGGGCGCTTGTTAAAGATCCGCGAACTACCCAGCCATCGTCTAAGTGAGCCCGCATATTAGAATGCTCTACTCATCCATCTCGCCCGCTGATGTCGTATATATGCTTTCCGCCTCCGTGGGGCCTCGCGACGCAATCACAGGTCATCTCCGTAATTCTGCGTGAGTGAATTATGCTGTGCGCTCGGGGGTTTTCTCTTCATATTCTCGTCGCTGAATTTGACCGTGGCGTGGTCATTGCTGATCTGGCCGTCCATCGTGCTGAGGATTCGCTCTAGGCCCCTGCTGCCCGCGCTCATGGGGTCGGCCAGTGTGTCCTGAATGTCGCGCCTAAGCAGATCGTCGATCGGATTAGCGCGCGCCTGGTCGGCCAAAAACCGCAAGTTGCCAACCGTGTTGTTCTCGGGCGGCGGCCGGGCTGGGTCCGTGAGCAGGGCGCTGGAGACGGACGTGTCGTTTATGACGAGGTCGGCGGGGATCGCGTAACCTCCTTCCCCCCTCGGCCTCCTGATCTCCTCGGCAGATGCGGTCTGCCGCGCCGTGTGCTGCGAGCAGCTCGGCGCCGAATGGGGATCTGCGCGCGAGGTTGTGCGATCGACTCGCAGCGTCCAGAAGGTGGCGCGCCTGTTTGCCAATGCGGCGGCGCTTGCCGAGACGCATGTATACGGCTCCTCTCATGCCGTATCCTGGCGCCTCCTCCCTCTTGAAGGGCCAGTCGCTGTGCGCGCTGAGTCGCCTGGCGCGCTCCATGATGGAAATACGATGCGTGCCTCGATCTTCTGCGTGGCCAGAACAGCGGAGTTGCGCTGCATCGCGCGTTGGATGAGCAGCGGGGTTCTTGGCTCTTGCAGGACGACGACGCGCGCTGCGACGAGGTGCTGGGCGGGCAGGGCGCGCGCCGCTGCTCCCAAGAGGGAGACAAAGAGGTCGGGGAGCTGACCTCTTGCCGGCTCGTCAGCCTAAGCCTTGACCGGCGGTGCTGGTGCACTCCGCAGTTGGTGAAGTCGTCGACTGCGGGGGATGTCGAACCTCGTCGGGAAGTTCTGGATGCGCTCCCGCGGCGGTCGGTCAAATTTTATCAGGGCCGATGCTGCCGAGGTGCGCTCCTCCTCGCCCAGCTGGTCCCATCCTTCGGCCGGACTACGCATTGGGGAGATCATCGGTGGCGCTGGGTTGCCGTTGATGAGACCTCCCCGGGTCAGGACAGCTGGCGGCCATTCGTCCACGTGCTCGCGCGCCATGCCGGTGAGGCGCGACGAGACGCGCGCCACCTGGCGAGTCTCGTTGGGGTCTAAGTTCGCCGCGGACCGAATCATCACCTTGCGCGCTCATTTCTGGAAGCGGCACGCGGATGCGGAGGGGGCGCATGTTGCGTCTGCCATTGCCTGCGTCCACGCAGGCGATGCAGCTTGCGATGGCGCACGCGCCGACTCCGATGGCCTTCCATCTGGAGTGTAGCTCCCTCCAAATGTCGTAGAGGTGCCAGTGGCCGGGGATCCCCGGGCGGCGTTGCATGAGTCGGCGAGGATACTTGCTCCGGATGTGTTACTCCTCGTCATCGCGTTGGGCGTCTGCTTCTGTCGCGTCATTGTAGCGCTCGCGTTACTCGGAGCATCCCGCGACGCAGTCACGGGACCGCTCTTCGTACATCGTGTGGTCCCTGTGCTGAACACCGCAAATTGTACGATCGCCTAGAGGAGTGCGCATCGGGATCCTGTCCTGCCCGGTTGGCGGGTCTGAGTAGGAAAGCGAAGGGTCGGATCCCGAGGTGTGGTGCCTCGGAGTGATGGCGCCCCAGTCGTCATGTCCAATGCATTATCTCGGGGGGTTGGGAACGCGTTTCCCATGCTCCTAGTAGGCCCCCGCTCAGCACTGGCGACGCAGTCGCCGGATGCCTCTTCTCTGCTTGCTTCTCCCAGGGCCCCCGAGGCACAGTTCCAAGAAGCTCGGGGCCTTGTTCTGGCACCGCAGATGTGAACGTTGCGCCGAGCAGCTGTCTAACGCCTGAGGCTACCCTCGCGGGCGGGGGCACTGACAGTTTGGAGTCCGCGAGCTGCTGGACAGTTCGAGCGTGCCCGGGATGGGTCCCAGAGCGGTCCTTGTAGATCATGGTGATGTTGTCCTTGATGAGGTGATGGTTGTGCACGTTTTCGGTCGCTGGTCCTGGCGGATGGGCGGATGCCCCGACGGACCCTGGGGCGACGTCTCCTGCCATAGTGAACGGGGGGAGGTGCGCGAAGGCCGAGGTGTTGAAGGCGGCGTGCACGCTTCCGGCCGAGGGTCCTGGTGGATGGGCAGGGGCAGCCCCGACGGACCCTAAAGCAACGTCTCCGAATGGAACCTGGCCGGCGGGAAGATACCTGAAGGGGCGTCTAAGGCGGGCGCGGAAGCTTGGCCAACTTCCATGCCCCAAGGCAGAAATTGCAGCGGACAGGCTGAGTGAAAGACAGGCAGAGCAGGAGGACCGATCGTTCGATTGGGTGGAAGGGGAAGGAGAAGGAGAAGGAGGAGGAGGAGGAGCCCAGCGTACCGAGGGAAGGAGTCTCCCGCCTAAGCCCACGAAGCCGAAGAATTTGCCGCGGGCGGCAGGGGCTGGGGCGCGCAGGGCGCGCCTGAGTTGCGCAGCACGTCGAACTCGACGTCGGGCGCAGCCGTATTTATATTCGGAGGCGACGAACGAGCGATGGGAGGAAGGGGAGCCGAACAGAACGGGGCGAAGGACGGGGTGAGGGAGGGAAACAATGAAGCCTCCAGGAGATGATGCAGCGCCGCGGGGGGAGGAGCAGGCGAGGGGCAGGCAGCAGCAGGAGCAGAGCTCAACGGAGCGACGGACGAGGCGGGGAACGGAGACACAGAAGGCTCATTTCCGGCCACACCCTCAGAAGGTCATGATGGTGAGGCCAGTGGCGGCGCGGCCCTCTGGGTCGAAGGAGAGCCAGAAATCCCTGCCGTCGGAGACGCCGAGGGTGAGAGCGCCGTCGGAGGGCCCGTGGACATCGGTGACGAGGGTCGCCTCGGAGACGGCGGCGATGGCGGCGTCCAGCGGCGGGGAGACTCCAGCGTCCCAGGATTTCGTCCGACACGTGGCGACGGTGAGCCCGAACACGACAACGGGACTTGCGATCTAACGCCGACGGACAGGTGTCCTGAATCACGGCAACACTCGCGTGGCGACGGCGAGCCCGAACACGACAACGGGACTTGCATTCTAACGCCACAGGAAAGGTGGTCTCCTTCGAGGCATCCAGTACGCAGCGACGTGTAGCCCGAACACGACAACGGGACTTGCGATCTGACGCCAAGGCCCAGCTGGGGCGAAATGAGGCATCCAGCACTTGGCGACAGTGAGCCCGAACACGACTACGGGACTTGCGATCTAACGCCGATGGGGGGCGACGAGGCTGAGGAACACCCAGTCGACAACGTCACTGGCGAAGACGGCGCCACACATGAGCAGGGCGAAATCGGAGACGGAAGGAGGAGGAGGAGGAGGAGGAGGAGAAGGAGGAGGAGGGAGGAGGAGGAGGAGGAGGAGGAGGAGGAGGAGGAGGAGGAGGAGAGGAGGAGGAGAAGGATGCCCGCGGGGTGAGGCGGACCGCGTCGAGCCACGGCCACCCCTGCGAGGCGCGCGCCCCACGCGCGCCCGCGCCTCGGCGCAGCTACGCGCCCGAGGCTGTCGGCCAGGCCTCACCCCGCGCGGCCCGCAGCAGCCTCGCCACCTTGGCTGCCAAACCTGGCGAGCTGCTGCGCTCCCGCGCGCCGCGCCGCGGCCTCGGCCCGCCGCCTCCGCCGCCCACAGCCCCTGCTTCGCATCGAGCAGCAGAGCCACCTGCGGGCGGCGGCCTCACCTCCTGCAGCTCGCCCTCCATGGCCACGTCGTCGCCGCCCGCAGCCCCTACTTCGCATCGAGCAGCAGGTTCCCCTGCAGGCGGCTGGACCTCCTCCTGCGGCTTGACCTCTGTGGCTTCGCGCGGCGGGGACGGTCCGCCGTCGCCGCCACCTGCAGCCGCCTCGTCACCTCCCTGCGCAGGGCCCGCCACAGGCCGCTGGCTCTCGTCCTGCTGCTTGACCACCTGGGCCACGCGCCTCTGCGACTGCGAGGGCGGCGTCAGCTCGGCCAGCCTCGGCGAGCAGCTGCGCACACGCGCGCATCGCCGCAGGCCAGGCCCTCCGCCGCCGCCCGCAGCCCCTGCCGCGCCACGTGCCGCGGCATGGGGCACCGCGGCTGCTCGCCTGCCGCCAGCTCGCCCTCTCGGGCCAGCCACCACGTTGTAGTCCTCCACGTCGTCCGCCAG